TCAGGTGCAACAACATCCAGTCAGATGGTTTTGATTAAACTCCACCCAGAACCACCCAGTCTCATCTTTCCTCTGAGACAATGTTAATCTTTAATTTTTCTTCTCTTGAGTTTACTGTGAATTTAAATCTTTCTTTCCCTGTTTGTCTTTGTCCAGTCGGGTCCAGTCTGTACCCGTTTCTCTTCCTGCTTTCTGTCTCCAGGTTGTTTTGAGGTTCTGGTTTGGATCCATTCTGCCTCTTTCTCGTGTTTTCCAGAGGGTTGGACCTTGGTTCTGTTGGAGAAATGGTTCTGGTTCTGGAGGAACACCAGGATCCCTCTGACTCCTGCAGGTCCCTGCTCTAAGTGCGCTCAGTAGAAGTTTTCCCTCCCTGGAACCCCAGACGGATGGATGCATGTGTTCACAGTAGCTGATATGATTTATATACACGTACACGCATACACACACCCTCTCTCTCTTTCTCTCTCTCTCGCACTCTCACACACACACACAGAGGAGGATGTGATGAAACCTGAGCTGCTTCACATTCTCTGAGCGCCTGAATCAGAAACTCTTGAGCCCTATGAAGGGAGCATGCAGGGGTCAGAGTTCATGTCCACCACAGAAGAAAAAGAGAGGAACCTGAACTCACCTGAGAGGCAGCAGCTGACGTGCAGCAGGAAGACGAGGACCAGCAGTCCAGAACCGGGCCGGTCCATGCTGGAGATCCAGGCTGACTGAGTGCCGGAGCTCCGGCTCCTTCACCCTGTCATTATCTCCTCCCTCTACCGCCGCCGTGTGTGTGTGTGTGTGTGTGTGTGTGTGTGTGTGTGTGTGTGTGTGTGTGTGTGTGTGTGTGTGTGTGTGAAATAATTTGATGTTGTGACTCTGGACCAGCCAGAATTGCTGCAGCTGCTCGGTGTGACTGCGCCTCCTGCTGGACAGCAGCTGCAGTCACACTGGAAAACTCTGCTGTGTTCAAGTTGTGCTAAAAGCAGTAAGCCTTTCAGAGAAGCTACACTGGCCTAAAATAGCATCTGAATGCTAACATGTAGCAACTAATGCTAATGTTAGCATCCACAGTCCAGGAAAAATTGAAGAAAAACTCTTTGCTACAAAAACCTTAAAAAGCATAAATCTCTCTGAAGCTGTTATTCAACAATTTGAAGAGCCTGAATTGAAAATGTTACTTAATTTATTCACATATTTATGTATCGTTTTTGGCTGAAATGCGGTTAAGTAATTTCCGTTGGACTCAACCAGAACCTGTCATCAGAACCAGGTCCAAAGCTGCTCTGATCTACCGACTTGAGGCATCAAATCAGAGAAAGTCCTCCAGCGGAGCTCAGAGCAGGAAAACCTTTTTACACCAACGTCACAGCGTCGTGGCGTTGCCATGGAGACGACGGAGGGCCATTTCCATGATGGTACAGAAGAAATAAGAACGGTCCGGGTCCAGAGGCTTGGGGGATTTGTGAGCCATTTCCCGCCCTCAGAGTTCAGCTGGTCTCTTGCTTCTTTACAGAAATCTCCCAGATGGGTTTCTTTATTCAAAGGTATCAGTCAGGGAAGGGCTACAAAATCTTTTCCAAGGATCCACAGTGAACAGTGGAGAATAAATATGGCACAAGAGCGACATTACCAAGAACAGGAAGGCCTACAGCAGCACTGGAGGAACCGCATAAGACGATCGTCTTCTTCACACGTCTGGGCTTCAGGCCAGCCAGAGGGAAGCTTGAGCTGACAGGAAAACATCCAAGCCTGGCTTCATCAGTAAAAACATGCTACGGTCCAGTGAAGAGAAAATATCCACAGTGGAGCATGGCGGTGGCAGCATCATGATCTGGGGCTGTTAGTCAGAATGAAGGGAATCCTGAACGGCTGCAGATACCAGTCAGTATTGGAGCAAAACCTTCAGCCTTCAGAGGAACTTCATGTTTTAACTACCCAAAACACACAGAAAGCAATCAGAACATCTTCACATCAACCAGACTCAAGAGTTAACCACAAGCTTTTATTGTGAAATTCCAGCAGCTGTTTACAGACGGCGACCACGGCGACCACCCTTCCTCCTGGTAGAGTCTGATGGGATCGGAGTAACGTCCTCTGCACAAGAAGAAGAACGACAACAAAGCGGTCAGTTAAAGGGACAGTGCACCAGAACCGTGCTGGAGGTTCTGTTGAGACACTTTGAACAGATCATCAGAACTTCAGAGTGAAACGCCATTTCTGAACCACCCTCAGTCAACATTTAATCAGTTATTGATCTCCATACAGTCACTGAACAAACAGCTTAAACATCAGATCATTAAATCGTGATGATGAATTTATCCCCCTCCCAACAACAGGTGGGGGAGGGGCTCTGCAGCAGACTGGTTTCTGCTGCAGAGCAGAAAAACATCCAGGAATCTCAGTTATGACAAATCTGAGTTGTTCAGGTGATTTCAATCCATTTCCCTGATCTCTAGCCCAGAGACATTTATTCTACCTTCAGGAGAACGATGCAGATATTTTCCAACTCATGGATTAAAACTCGATCTGAAGGGTTTCAAGTGACCAAGCGACTTTTACTCATTTATTTTATAGTTTCCTAGATGTTAATGACTAACTCCGAATGGGATATATTGATATAAAGGGGAAACAAAATAAAGCTATATTGTTTACAACAGCGGCCACTGATCTGAAATGAGACCTTTTTATTTTATCATGCTAAACTTTTAAGGTTAGACAAAAACTTCAAGTGTCCAGAGGGGGCAGTAGAGTCCCAATGGGAACCATAATAACGCCAATATAACATTCTGACTTTATGATTACAGTTAAACATGGTTACGATGGAAACAAATGAGTCTGCAAATTCAGCTAGATTTCACAAACTTCGCATCATAACCACCATGTGACTAAGGACAACGAGCAAATCAGAGCTCAGCTTCTGCCTGAAGAGACGAGACCAGAAACGGGCCAGGTTCCACCAGGTCTTTATACTCTGGTGGGAACCTCTCCATCTACTGTGTGGGTTGTAGAGACCTCTGCTTTAGGGTTAGAGGTCAGGGCTAAGGTGGTTAGGCTGTAGAAATGAATGGAAGTCAATGGAAAACATGGCTGTGTGTGAGTGAGTAATACCGATGCGTCCGATCTTCATGCCAGACCGGGCCAGAGCTCTGAGTGCAGACTGGGCTCCAGGTCCAGGAGTCTTTGTCCTGCAACAGAGACACAGCTCAGCGTGCTGACCTCTAACCTCCGGGCACTGAACACTCCAGCTGAGCCTACCTGTTGCCTCCAGTGGCCCTCAGCTTGATGTGCAGCGCCGTGATGCCCAGCTCCTTGCAGCGCTGCGCCACGTCCTGAGCCGCCAACATGGCGGCGTATGGGGACGACTCGTCTCTGTCAGCCTTCACCTTCATGCCACCCGTCACGCGGCAGATTGTCTCCCTGGAAACAAGCGGCAGTCAAAACCAGACCCGGGAGTCGGGAGGTTGGGATGGGGGTGCACTTACTTCCCGGAGAGGTCGGTGACGTGGACGAAGGTGTCGTTGAAGGAGGCGAAGATGTGGCAGACGCCAAACACGTTTTCTCCCTCGGCCACCTGCGGGCCCAGGCTGATCACCTGCTCCTCCTTCTTCTCCTTGCCTTTACGGGGAGCCATGTCTGCTGGAGGAACCACAGCATCAGAACCAGAACATCACAGCCTCACTCTGTCTGTTCAGAACATCATAGAGACACTGGATCCTCTCAGAACCAGTCCCATACTGGGTATGTTGAGAACCAAGCAGAGCAGTAGTTCAGTCAGACCAGCAGCTCTCCAGCAATGGAGGCTCGACCTGCAGGTTGATGCTCTGATTGGTCCAGAACTGGTTAGCATCCCTCAGCAGCTTTACTCAGTTAAAGCTGCTGCCCCAGTCCTTTTGACGAACTGGCATCAGAATGTTCTTCTTAAGTCCAGACGTTCTATTACATATTGTAATAAAGTCTACATTTACATCGAGTCACAACCCGCAGCCAGAATGTTAGCATGTTAGCTTTCCATCAAACACCGCTGAAATAACCCTAACATTCATCACCTGGTGAAGAATTTCAACGCTATGAACAGCGTACCTCATCGTTCCGAAGCCTCAATAGTAACTTTTACAATAAACCATCTCTATTTTCTTTTGCTGGACGTACCGTGAGAAACATGGCGGCACGGCACAGCGGAAAAACGGAACATAAACGTAGCTCTGACATTTCACGGAGAGATAATTCAGACCCCAACAGAATCTTAATGCATCAATCTGTCAGAAAACACACCTGGGTTGGTAGGATGGTCACCTGGAAGGAAGATTAAAGCGGATTTATTCCTCAGCAGGACTCACCTTACAGCGTCTCTTCACTGAGCACAATCAGAAAGGAAGGAAGCTCGGCCACCGGAAGTAGAAATAATGAGACTCTCAATCTGATGCTGCTGCCCCCTGCTGGATACATCTCCCCTCGCTGTTTATCAGGTTGAATTCTTCAATCTCTTTCACCTGATCACACTCAGCTTTCTTAATATCTTTATGATTTTTATTGCTAATTATATGGTGCTTTTATTTTAATTTTATCATCTTTTTAATTGATCTTGTCTTACATTATGTAAATAGAGTCCATTTATTTGTTCATTTTAAAATAATTGTTTCATATAAAAAAAAGACTAACAATTTCTGTTTTAACTTATATTTATCTTGAAGAAAATACAGTTTATATTTTTATTTTCTTTGTTTATGATTTTTAATAAATGAAAATATTCATGTGCAAGCATGACTATATTACATTTTAAAGTTTGATTAATTTAGCATATTTTTTTCTCCTTTTTTAATTAGCGATCAGAGAAATAACTGTATTATTTGAATCAATCTAAAATTCAGCAGTTTTTCTAAGTCTGACAGATTACACCGTTCTGACCCGGTGCCTGACCCGGTACCACTGCAGAAGCTCAGAGCATCTAGAAACCATATATTAGAGCAGCGTGTGAATACTGCGAGAAGAAATAGACCAATCAGAGCAGAGAGTTTGACCATCTCCTTTATTTACAGAATCATATTGAACACGATGCAGAAGAAGAAAATACTCCAAAAACTACAAAAAAAAAACTATTTAAAAACACATTCTCTCCCTCAGACACACACAGACTCCCACAGGTAAACACTGAGCATGCAGCATTAGTCCAGATAATACAGTACAGAACAATATTCATCATAGTAGAAAAAGCTGAGAGGATTATTGGGGATTATTGATCACTGATTAGTTCTGCAGGGCGACAGGAAACAGGAAGAATGGCTCTCTGGGCTGGCCCTTTAACCAGCAGGGATACATTCAGCCGGCTCTTTTATTAACTTATTAACATCTGGAGATTCTCCCTGCCTCCTGTCTGCAGAGCTGCGACGGAGAGGTGGGATCCCACATCATAACACCGCCACGCTGCTGAGTCGGGAAGCGGATCCTGAAGCGGATCCAGCAGCAGAACGATTCTTTTCGGGAGAGGAATCGACTCAGCTTCAACAGCAAAAGTTTCTAAAAAATGACATCTCAGATATTTTTGCATCGTTCACCACTAATAAATACTTTCAAGTGTCGTAAGAGTTCAGAGTGAAGGTGCAGCTGTAAAAACCACTGAGACTGTAGGAAACAGCCGTTCTCTCTGGGGCGTCACCTGGAGTCCAGGTGCGGCATTGCACTGCAAACACGGGAGGCCAGGGCTCGTCCACAGGCTAGCCAATCAGCAGAGAGGGGGCATCTTAAAGGGACAGGAGCGTAAACAAAGATTTTCTTCAGTGGTAGGCAACGCTAGCTAAAGAGTTAGCTGTGCTAATGCTAACACGCAACAACAACATGGTATTTAAAAAATGCTAACTATAAAGCCATTCAGATTATTGACAACCCGTCAGCACTGCTTTCATGTTGACATTATGATTTGACATGCTCATAACAAAATGATGTTTACATGATATTCATGTTAAACTTATTTAACATGAATAAAACTTTATTTATTTAACATGAATGTTCATAAAACAGCTGGGAAAATTAGCACTTTAGAATTTATTCAGAAAAATTAATTCAGGACAAGCTAAGTTAGCAACAACGCTGAAGCTAAAAGGTAGCTCTGCTGTTAGCACATTAGCATTATTGTGCCCACCACTGGTAGAAAAGCATAAATTCAGAGCAGGAGGAACACAACGGGTCACCAGAACAGAACCTGACAGGCCCGCCATAAGGTGCATTGGCTTTCTGACTCAATGTCCTGTTGGATCAGTGGGTGTGGCCTAAACCTTAGCTAGAAGGCTTCGCCCCCGATGCCCCACCCCTCTGGGTCCTCAGCCTGGACTCCGGATGACCCAGAGATCAGTGTGAAGCGAACCAAAGGGCAGCAGCAGGGAAAACATTCAGCAGCTGCTAAAACACGAAAAAATCCAAACCAGGAAGCTGGAAGCTTAAAAAGCTTCAAATATACAAACGCCACACAAGAAGGTATAATATCATCATCGTCATCGACATGGTAAGAATCTGATTGTACAAAGTTCTACATTCTCCTGACGGTAAAAAGCTCCTGAAAGCTTCAGAGACAAATACAACGGGTCCGAAAAGGCAGAATATCAAAGTGGCACCGGCGGCGTTTCGTTAGCTCAAGGCTAACGGACACCATTGATCCCAATGACAAATACTAAACCCTAGCGACGGAAAGGTCCGAGAGCCGGGAACGGCCGGAACGCGGCGGCGCCTGAAGCCCAAACACTAAACACAAAGTCCAGCATGCAGAGAGTCATACAGTCTGTACAGAACCGGCACCAAGGAGGAAGAAACACGAGCTGTCCATGCAGGGTCCATCAGAACCAACTGCCAGAGGGAGCTGCTGAGTTCTGCTTCAGGCCAGGTCGACCTCTAAAAACCCAATAGAGACGATGCAGAACAAACCCTCAGAACCTGCTGGTTCTGCTCACAGAGGTCCAGACGAGTCCAACAAGAGTACCAACCAGAACCAAGCTATGGACTGGTTCTGATCCATTTCAGAACCAATATCTGTGATCTGTACCATTTGGAAGGTTTTATTTAAATATATAGAATCTGAACCTGCAGTCCAGTTCAAGAACTGATTCATTTACTCACTTGTACACCTGGTACCAACCATGGTAGTGATACCGGTACCAACCATGGTCGTTCCAGGTTTATGCGAATGGTGTCGTGGTTCTGATTGGTCGTCTGATTTCGCGTCTGTTCTGAAACGACCTGCTGGTTCTACTAAAGCAGCGCCTAGAATCTCCCAGCAGAACAACGAGCCTTACAGACATCAAGTCCACAGACCTGAGGTCACTTCCTCTTCCAGTTTCTAGATGGAAAACATTTCAACCAGAACAATAAACTTCCTCCAGCTGAAAGAGCCGTGGAGGAGGAGCAGATAGCTCGCTAAGCTAGCTCGTTAAACTAGCTCGTTAGGCCCTCCTAGTTGTGGTGGGTGGTGTAAGTGGAAGATCGAAAGTGGAGGAAGTTTCTGGCACTCTCTGAACACCAGAGGGTGCAGTGTGTATGTCATTTGTGTGTGTGTGTGTAAATGAAATGTTATGATAAACTCTGTAATCAGCAGATAATCAATATTACAACTTATTTATATTTTTATTCTAAAGATAACAATAAACTAAATATTATTTATTACTGCAGATATCAAAAGTGACCAGCAGGGGGAAACCTTGTATCTCAGACTACTTCAGGCTCAGTGGGATCAATGTGATTGGTTCTGATTCCGATTAGTTGATAATAAATGTCTGACATGATGATGAAAGTGCAGAGCTTTCTGCACATGCTCAGTAGCATCAAAAAGATCAGAGCTAATCGCACATTTTAATCAATGAGAGCTTCTGACCACAAGGGGGCGCTGTGTGCATACAGCTGGAGATACAAAGTTTCCTACCCACTGCACGGAGCGAACTGATTGGTCAGTTACAAAGCTGTGTTATTGGTTGGATGACTGATTGGTTAATTGGTGATGGGATTCACTGCCGGATGACCGAAGCTTTCTGACCCCGCAGTTTCCTCCTCCAACGCCTCAAAGAAAATCCTGAATGGTTGGTGTCAGACAACAGCTGGCTTGCTGTCAATCATCCCGTTGTCAAGGCGACAGCAGCCCCATTAGAGCCCCGCCCACTCTGGAGGAGGACGTTAGCTGGAGGAGCAAAGGAAGAGAGCTTCAGCTAGGAATGATGGAGGAAGCATCATTACAGCAAACATAATAACCATAAAACACTGGAGGAAACTGAACTGGTCAATGTTTCATTTATCGAAGCCGGTCTGTCCCAGCCTTCCTGAACGCCTCTGCGGCCGGTTCTTACTTGCTGAGGGTGGAGGGCGATCCTGAGCGGTGGAAGTGGACGATCTGCCATTTCCCGTCCCGACGGTGCCACACCCTGGTCTCCTCTGATTGGGCGGTGCGCGGCGTGCCGTTGGAGTCGATATACTGCGTGACCCGGATGTAGGCAATGCAGGCGGCCTCGTCGCCCACCAGGTGGATGTGGGGGTTCAGGATGGTGGTGTGCACCGGCTTGCTGTTTTTGGACCACACTGAAACACATACACACAGCGGTTACCTGTGCAGGTGAGCCGGCCTGGCCCGGCCCGTCCATAAGACTGAGACAAACTCACAGTTTTCAAAATAAAAGCGGTGGAAGTCCAAGCCTTCGACCAGGTTCCCCAAAGCCTCGGGTTCAAACGCCGTCACTGCTGGGTCGCACATTTTCCTGGACACACAGAAAGAGAGGTTCTGCTGCCGGAAGCAAAGAGGTTCTGCTGGGGCCTCTTGACCTCAGAGCAGAACTTGCTGGGCCAGACCAGAAGTACCAGAATAACCACCCCTGAATAAACTTCAAAGAGCAAATGCAAAATATTCAACAAACTAACGAAGGTTTACAGAAGAACACAATGCTAACAACCATAGCTAAACAGAAACATGTTAAATATCAATTATTTTGAGATTATGTTCATCTCATAATGCATGGTGAGTATCAACATGGCAGAATTTAGCACTTCAGCTTTAGCCTCCACTAAATACCGTGGTAGTGTAGGGCTTTAGCATTAGCTTTCCAGTAAGTACTTTTTTCATGCAGAAGTTTAGCAATAGTTTCTGCAAAATACCATGTTGCTTTGGTGTTTTAACATGAACTTTTCAGTTAATGAGAAGTTAACATTAAGTTAAGCATCTTGAACTGTGCTGAGAAGTTAAGGAGGCTAGTGCCAGCCATGTTTAAAAACCCGCGTCGCAGCGCTCCACCGTGTGTTTCAGATCGACTGACTGAGAAATTGGAACGCATGTCCCTGTTAATGTGAGCAGCTGAAACAATGCTCATTCTTTTTTAAGACATTCAAAGCAGAGAGCTAAATTTATGAAAATTTGTGACTCCTACCTGGTACCAAAAGACCTTTCATAATAAAAGTAACAGTAAGGAGAGTGAAGCGGCGACATACGTGTAGCTCTCAAAGTCTCCATTACTGATGGCCTCGATGAGCTGCTCCGTCACTTTAATGATGTCCTGTTTCCTCACTGACACACACACGCACACACACACACACACACACACACACACACACACACACACACACACACACCACACACACACACACACACAGAGTCAGGGTGGTGGTAGGTGTTGGGCGGCAGGTCTGGTGTGCGGAGCCTCACCTCTGGTGTCTTCATCCTCGATGGTGGTGTTGGTGCTCTCAGACGACTCCTGCAGCAGAAACAGCAGTCAGTTAGTGGGGCGGGTTCTGGTACTGGTTCTGGATCAAGGAGTAACTGGGAGCAGAGTTACCTTGACTCCGTCGGCCTTCTTGTTGCTGCCACTCTTTCCTCCTGAGCGAGGGATGACAACGAACAGAAACAGAAGCAGCAGAGTGAGAAAAAATGGAACGAAAGCAGAGAAGAGGAGTGGCGCCATCGCAGGTTGGGGAGCAGAACCGGACGTGTCAGAACCGTCCTGGTTCTGCCCCGCAGCCGGGGGTGGTCCGGCTGCCTGTGGGTCGCTCCCTGGGGGCCGAGGCCAAATTTAGGAGCAACTTAAGATAGCAGCAGAGCCCGGCACATTCCTGAGGGCCCGACCCGGCCGGGTTCTGCTGCACAGAGAACGCCTGACCTTTGATTTCCAATAGCCTGCTTTCACAGAGACAGCTGCTGAAAGGTCCAGTTTTGTTGCTTACACCAGAACAGGTCCGGTTCTGGTTTTATAGATCCTGATATTCTAAGCTGCAGCTGTTTGCCTGGGCCTGCACCCGGCCCGTATCAGACGGTTTTGATCGGGTTGGAAGAGAGCAGAAGCAGCTTGGAGACGATCCGATAACTCTGATGGAAAAATGCATCATGGGAGGATTTGTAGTCAGAATCTGAGATTTTCTGGTTAGATCTTGTTGAGAACCTGGTGACCCTTTGACCCTTTAACCTTTTGACCCCATCCTACCTACTGGCTGCAAGGTGAAAGACTTGTAATAGCAGGGGGCGCTGCGCTGCACAGGAAGTGGACCCACAGAACCAGTAAAACCAGCAGAACCAATAGAACATCTGGAAGAAGTTGTGTAGCAGCAGTTCCTTCTCAGATCTGTACTGAGCATGTGCAGATGGCTGAACATGATTGGTCCAGTTGGAGGGACTGGGAGGACTGGGAGACTGGTGGGGGATTCCCTTCTTGCTATCTTTAGACCACAGCAGCTGCTCACACACACACACACACACACACACACACACACACACACACACACACAGTGCTAACCCGCTAACTGTCTGTAAAGCTGGCAGCTGATTTGTAGATTTATTTAAAGCTCCAGCAACTCATATATAAGCCTCCAGTTCAAAGGTCATGACCTGCCAGCCTCACAGTCATTGAGGAGCCCTGTGGCCTCCAGCCTGATCTCTGACCTCTGGGTGGGGGGGTCCACTTACCAGAGAAGTTCCTGGTGGCCAGCATGGTGGTCAGGATGGCCCCCTGCAGGACAGAAGCAAAAACTGAACCATCAGCAGCTGGGCTCTATAACATGATTTCCTTCACTTCCCATCACTTTATTGTGAAAATCCTCACCTTCAGCTTCCTCCTGGCGTTGAATTTCTTCAAACATTCAACTGTCTCTTGGCGATGCATACAGGAAGCCACGGTGGAGCGGTGCTGGAAGGAAGAGGACACGTCATCGTCGTCACTATCGTTATCATCATCATCGTCATCCTCATCACTATCGTTATCACCATCATCATCACTATAGTTATCACCATCATCATCACTATTATCATCATTATCATCATCTTCAAAGTTATAATCATCATAATGACAATTGTCATCATTAAGGTTGTCATCATCGTCATCATCACTCATCATCATCACTAATGATAATAATCATCATTGTCACCACCATCATCATCATCAATAATTATTATCATTTTCATCCTAATCAATGTCTTCATCATCTTTCAACACTCCCCCCACTCACAGAGATCCAGGGGTGTTTGAGCGCCTCAGCGGCGGTGATGCGTTTGGCCGGGTTGATGGTCAGCATCTTGTTGATCAGGTCTTTGGCTTCGGGCGTCACCGTGTCCCACTCCGGGGAAGGAAACTAGGAGGCAAGGAGAGCAGACTGACCAACCACAGTGCTCCGTGTCGATGACTTCACATCGAGTCATGTGACCTACGTCATAGGCTCCAGCTTTGATCTGCTGGTAGAGGCGGTGCTGGTCTTCATCCCAGAACGGAGGGTAGCCCACCAGAAGGATGTAGAGAATCACGCCTGAAGACCAGAAACGCCGCGTTTAATGCAGCGGGTCAGCTGAGTGTGACCAAAACAGAGACATGAGGAGAGACTGACCGCAGGCCCAGAGGTCCACCGCCTTCCCGTATGGGTCCTTCCTCAGGACCTCTGGAGACAGGTAGCCTGGAGTTCCAGCAAAGCCTGCAAACACACAGAGGAAGCTACACAGCTACACCAGAGGCAACATCTGCTGCACGCAGTTACCATGGCTACTGGGCTGGTTGCTAAGCGCCAGCCAGCATGGCAGTGAAGATGCGCTGTTGTTTATGGAGTTAGAAAATAAGAAGAGAAAACATGTTGAGGAAGATTTAACCTGTCTTTTATATAACAGGTTTAATTTTTATTTTATAATAAAAATACAACAAAATTAAACAATAAAATTAATTTTGACAATATTTCTGAAATAAAAAAGCCAAATAAACAGAATATAATATAAACTAAAATCGAAATGTGTTTAAAACCCTAAATCTAAGACTGAATAAACAAAATGTGCATTCATAACAACAACAACACAGAGTATGTGGACTAAATGAAGCATGAAGGGATGATAACGTTTCAGTAAAAGTATTATAAGTACTACAGTCAGGACTGCCTCACCAAACCAGGCCTGCTGGTCGCCCTCCACCTCGATGGCGAGGCCGAAGTCGGCCAGTTTCACCGCCGCTCCTTTAGACTTGGAGGCCAGCAGCAGGTTCTCTGGCTGGAGACACAGAGGACATGCTAACAATGCTAACCCTGCGCACTGATTTAAATTGTTAGTGCTAACAATGCTAATTCATCCACTGGTTTACACAAGGAACTCTAACAATGTTATCTCTGCCCACTGATTTACATCAGGAGTGCTAACAATGCTAACTCTACTCACTAGTTTAAATGGTTGGTGCTAACAATGCTAACTGGTCCACTGGGTTACACGAGGAATACTAACTATGCTAACTCTGCCCACTGATTTAAATGGTTGGTGCTAACAATGCTAACTCTATTCTTTAACAGCAGCAGGAGCTCCGTTAGCTAGCCATGCTAACGGCTAGCCATGCTAACGGAGCTCCTGGGAGTTTCTGGAACCAGTAATCTTCTTAAACCCATCAGAATATTTTATCAGATCATATGATACCTTCAGGTCTCGGTGGACCACGCCCATTTGATGACAGTGAAGCACCGCCTCCAGGATCTGCTGGATGCAGTGGCTGCAGGTAAAGGTCAGAGGTCACATAGTGCAGATGATAAGGGGAGGCGTCATGCCTCAAGACAGGTGAAGGAGAAGGTGTGCTTCTCACCTGGCATCGGCTTCACTGTAATATTCTCTGGCTACGATGTCTTCAAACAGCTCTCCACCTGTAACCCTGAAAACCCCATAATCTGGTCAATAATCTGATAAATAATCTGGTCAATAATCTCAACTACTAATGTCATGGTAACAGTAAGACACACATGATCTCATTAAAAGAAAACAATAAATGACAGAATTTAACAAGAACTCATTTCATAAAACAGAACAAACTTAAATAAATAAAGTTATAAGTGACTGATGGTTTGATTCTGAGAGTAAAAATGTTTTTATGCTTCGGTTTCCGTTAAGTACAAAATAATTACAGGATGTGACTGAAACAGAGTCAGATTAAATCAGATTATGAATAAAGACGTGAATGTGTTAAACAAACCCAGAAACAGAACCCTTGAATTAAAACCACCACATTTCTATAAATAATCCTGAATTTGGCTGCAGAAAGTCAAGCAGCAGAACAACAGAATGTGATGTAACAGAAGGAGGTGTTTGATTCACAGCAGAACTGAGTCAACACCCAGAAAGCGTCGATATGCAGGGTCCTTAACGGCCGCCGGCGCTCCGACTGCTGCAGGCTTGATCTGCTCTCCGTCACTGGACTGACCCTATTTCCTCGGAACTGTCTGAATGTTTCCTGTTGATGGGGATCAGATCTGAGCTGATCAATGATTTATCCTGACGGCTGCAGGCTGAACACGGAGCCACATGGTAAATCACTGCCTGTCTTAGATCTGAGCTTTTATATAGTCCATTAGAGCCAATAAGATCTGCAATGACAACTTGGTCTCATCATCACTGGAAGCCATTAGAGCTTTTTAATCGGCAGATAAAAAGCTCTAATGGCTCCCTGATCATCACTGGAGACATTCCTCCATCACTTCAGATCAAATGACGGTAAACTGATAATGAGTGTCAGGAGAAAACTCCAGATGGATATGAATTATTGTTGCTCTTCTCACTAGCTGCGTTTCTGTTACACTATGTTCGCAAAACGTTGTTTTCTGCTAATGTCAAAAACACCCAGTTGTTTCCATTAAATAAGTAATGAGATTAAAATCATCTTGATAAGCTTGTCTATACAATAAGTCCTTAAAAAAATGGCAGTGACAGGGTTTCCCTCTCTGTATTATAAGCCTGGCAGCCCGCCATGCTTTGCCAGCCGCCCCCACACGGCGGACTGCCGGTGGAGCGCCTCGCGCCCCGACCACCAGGCTTAGCTACCCTGCAGTGATGCATGTAAACATACATTAATAAATCAGTTATGGTGGTGCTAGTGCTCCTCATCTATCAGCCAATCAGAGGAGACGTCAGCGTCCAATTCAGGCCGCGGAACAACAAGAACCGCCTACTTGGGAGCAGCTATGCCTGCGGTGCTTTGGGGAAACTGCAGTTGGTGATTTTACAGAGGAATTATGGATTCAACACGTTGGAATGAGACGTTTTCTGAAGTGTGATGCTGTGGCAGCTCTGGTGGAGCCAGATGGTCTAGTAGTCCAAGAAGGCCAGAGCTGCAAATAGTCAACTGGAATCAAACTAGGGAGAAGTGTGCCGATAACGTCACAGCGTTGTTTCCAAAACACAAATTTCACTACTGCTGAAAACCCACACCACCCCAGTGCAAAAACCAGTGTTTTTTCAGTTTACATTAAGTAAGTCTATTTTTGTAAATCCTATTTGTGCATTTTATGGTGACTGGAAACGCAGCTAATGATGCTTTTCACTTCGTTTCTTCTCAGCAGAATATTTAACTGCTATGGAAACATTGTGCTTTATGCATGATTGTCTCTGTAGTTCCCAGCCTGAACACCAGATGGCACTAAGCCTTGCACACGGTCCCTTTAACCAGACAGTCGGGTATGAACTCACAGGTCGAAGATGAGGTAATGATGCGCCTCCTCTGAGATGCTGTCATGAAGCCGAACTGAAAAACAGAAAACAAGTTTTCTCTGAATTTCAGCTTCTTATCATTTCAGCTTATTGATCACGAGTCAGAATGCAGAAAAAGCCAACGAGCCAAAAAACACATTTTTAACTCAAAATAACAATAAAGACTTTCATGGATTTAATGGGAATCAGTTCATGAGAACAAACCAGGAAATAAAAATCGCTCAAAAAAATTTCATTCATCGCCCGTCTGACAGAGCAGCAGGAAATCTGGAGTCAGAGCAGGAAGGAGAGATGATGGATGATCTGGTGGTTGGATGTTCCAGCGGTTGGATGCTCCAGCGGTTAGATGCTGATGAACACCAGCTGATGTTGAGTCTAAATGAGTTTCTGCAGGAAGTTGTCCTGAGATGATAGATGAGTTTTTCTCCAGGCGTCTGTTCTCTGCTTATATTGTATAATATCTCATATTATCACAGAAGAGAAAGAAGCTGCTGCCCACACACACACACACATGCGCGCACACATTAGACCCCACTGCTGCAGTGTGTAGGAGTGTTTGAAGAGAAACCTGATGATTTCTTGCTGAGTGCTCCACACAGGTACGTTCTGTTGGTGTGTGTAGGAGGACGGATGGTTTTAATGCCTTCACCTATGGGCGCTGTTTCCTAGCAACACAGACACACACAGTTACGTAACACCGCTCATATCTGCGGAGCATCACCTTCCCACTGATTGGCCGCGGAGCTGGGTCGCTGCCTGCCGATTGGCTCGCTGGGCCATGGGACTGATCCTTCTCCCGTTGGCTGTTCTCCTCCAGACTTCATCAGGCTTCAGTTTTACGTTTCAAATGTTTCTCACAGAGAACAGCACTATTCAAACAGGCTTTTATTTTGAAAGGCTAGTTGCTCATCTCTGAGTCAGAGAGTGGAGACTCACTGATTCAAAGACCGTCTGGTTTCAAATCCACCTGGATGGAAATGAGGGAATGAAAAGTGATGCATTTACGCGCCGATGATGCTGCGATGTCCTTCTGATGGCGCCCTCGCGCCTCTAAGGTGGATAATCCACCTCAGGGCGCAGTGCAGGGGGTCATTATGTAACCACAACCCGCAGGAACAGCAGCAGCTCGCTGCGCTCTTTCATCAGGGAAACCTGGTTCGTCCAAAAAGGGACTCTGAGGACAAAACTGTCTCAGCAAACCTCACGGAACCGAAGCAACGTTACAAGGAAGACGGTGGACAATGAAAGTCCACAGCTGAAGAGCGTCTGATCAGAGAAACGGCTGCAGCTCAGACGGTGAAATCGGAGCGGGAGACAGCCGGAACCGCCGAGTCAGAGAGACTGGACTGGACCAGAACAGTAAACACCAGACCAGAACGTACCAGACTGGACCAGTCCAGTACAACTTCTGGTAGTTTAACCCCAGTTGGTTGGTAGTTTAACCCCAGAAGTGACAGATCACCTGAACCGTAACTTAAACCCTTGCACAGTTTTCTTTTCTTCTGTCTTTGTCCAGTTGTTTCTGTTGACTGATGATTTCGGCATTAAAGTTTTGGCACTCTGCCTTCTTCGGATCAGCCTCATCTGAACTGCCAGGCCCAAAGGAGGTTCTGCAGAACCGTCCCCACAACTCCACGGCCGACCTGCTCTGCAGACCCACAGGCAGCAGATCTGAGATGAGATTGGAGGAGGAAGGCTCCTCTGACTTCCCCATGGCGACAGCATCTCCTCCATAATTAGCTGTTAGCTGCTAGATTATGGTCACCATTAGCAACACCAGGACCAGAGAGTTCACAATGTTATTAGCATCTTCATCATCACCCTGATCAATCTCCATCATCATCATCATCACCACCACCACCATCGTCGTCGTCGTTCTGGAAAGAGACGGAGCGAACAGGGAACCAGGAGTAACCAGGAACCTTCTGCATGTGGGTGCAGATGGACCAGATGTCTGGAGGTTCTGGTCCTGGTTCTGGTTTTGGTTCAGACTGGTGGAGATCTTCGTATGCTTATATTTCCTCAAAGTGTAAATCTTGTTTTGATTGTTTCCAAAAGCGTTATTAATATCCGGAACGAATGATAAAAATGAGAGGTTTTTCTTTGAGATGTGACAGGAAATCAGTTTCATCATCTTCGCAGCATCAGGTCGTCATGGCAACTCACCGATGTTGGGATGCTTCAGCAGCCGACAGATCCGGGCTTCTCGGTCCAATTTCTGGTGATCTGGGGACAAACAGAGAAGATTGATCAGAGGTTGTACATGGAGAAGATGAAGGACATTTAGTTAGTCTGGGTCTAATTCTAGGGATGGTCTAACCATCCCTAGCAATGGGTCAACCACCCCTCCTCTCTAAGAGGAGTTTCTTTCGTCTCCTCTCAGTCGCTCTCTGCAGCTGAGATTTCTGATCCGACCGGACCAGAAATCTGTTCAGACCATCATCTGTTCTAATTCCATCTACTGTGGTTTTCTTTCTCTCTGCTCTGAGTGAAAACAACCAAACCCTTTGAGCAATCTTTTCCCCTCCTCGCCTGTGGGGGCGCTGCACCAAGAACCACTGAAGGAAACAACATGCAAACCTCTGAAGACACTGAGCAGAACTTCCTTCTTCACCAAATGGAAACTAAATTGGAGGCATCAGACTTTAGTGGTTGGAGGATTTCTCTTTAGTCTTTGGTTAAAGACCACAAGCCATTTCTCCTGTTAGCACTAGGCTAACACATTAGTTTGGTTGTATTTACCCGGAATGCTCTGTGCTGTAGGTCGCTTCCTGCATTTAGAGCAATCTCCGGTCCACTTGGTGTTCACATTCAAATCAAACAAGAGATCACGTCAACCAAACCACATTTGAAATCACATTTCAGTTCAGCCTGTCCAAAGAACATAAACGATAAAGACACAGATAGATGGGACCTGATGCTGCAGCACTGAGAATAACATTGTGATCGGAGATTAGGGGAAAGGTCATATCTCACAAAACCATCCTGCACATAAAGCAACATGTTAACAGCATGTCGGCGCAGAGTGGAGCGTGTGTGTTTATAGCCATGCAGGGTGTGTGTTTGTGTTGATAGAATAGCTCATTCCTTCACAGCCAAGAAGCTAACTGCTAATAGCTGCTAAAAGCTGATGATCAATTATGTAGCTAACCACTGCTAGATGCTATCCAGCAACAGCAGCTGATCGCTAACAGCTGCTAACCAGTAAGAGCTGCAAACTGCTAACAGCTGCTGATAAATTACCAGCATGCAGCTAACCACGAACAGCTGCTAACTGCTTACAGCTGCTAACCGCTAACAGCTGCTAACCATTTATCTATAAGCAGCTACCAAAGCTTCCCCTTCAGAGGGATCATGGTGGTACTGAGTCATTCAGAAAAACCCAGACCAATTTTCTTTGTAAAGCTCATAGAATTGCCCAAATTTCTGCACAAAAGTCAGAAACTTAAAAAATAAAAGTGATGAAGCAGCGCAGAGGGACAGACGCTGCTGGAAAAAGAGACAGACGGGAAAGGAAGAGTTCACTTCCAAGTTCCCCGAGTTCCCCAAGTTCCCAGACTTCTCGAGAACTTGGTCAGTTTCTTTCAGCTGCAGATGTTTGATTGATCAGGTGTGTTAAACAGCTGCAGGGACGTTATGTAACACCGAGCAGCAGAACAGACACACACACATGCATGCACGTTTGCACACGCACAGAAATATTCTCTGTCAACTTTGCAGCTTGTTGCTAAGCAACCGAAGGAAATCTTAAAACCAGAATAGTGAAAAAATTCCCAGAGTGAAAAATCCTTCAGCTTGACTGAGTTTCAGCCGGGGGGATGTGTGTGTGTGTGTGTGTGTGTGTGTGTGTGTGTGTGTGTGTGTGTGTGGGGGTGTGTGTGTGTGTGTGTGTGTGTGTGTGCGTGTGCGTGTGTGTGAGGGCGGTCCTCTCCTCTGGTTCTGATCAGAGGAGCCGTGCTTTGACTATACATCTGCTAGAGACTAAAGTGGAGCAACAGCATAAAGCCTTATGACAGTAAATAGCTGCAGTTTACTCAGAGTTACTGGTGTCTGTTCCTTTAAGACCAACATGCTGACTGGTTTAACTAGTCAAAACATGATGTCCGGTTTATTGTTGTAAATATTTTGAGGTTTCTTTTGCAGGGATTCAGTCATTAACTTGCAGCAATCCCCATTTTGAATTTTAACAAGAAGGAAGCAGGAGCACAACCAGCAGAACAGACAGGGAGGCAGGTCTCCTCTCCAGTTTCCTGAGGCAGAACCCTGAATGTTTTCCAGACTTTAGATTTCCGTTGTGATGAAGCTGATGGTGAAGGTCCAGTATCCGGCTGCGTTTATTAAAGCCAGAAGACTCCGAAGCTCTGCATTCTGCCATTTCACCAGCGCCTCCTGCTGGGCCCTTTGACTACCAGTAGCAGGCATGTGGAGGTCCTGCTCCAGGACACAACCATAACGAACCAGCATCCCACCGACTGAGGGACCAACTCCCACTCCTACTCTGATTTGTCCTGATTTACCCTGATTTTCCCCGGGTGCTTTCTCGTCGAAGCCACGACTGCAAGCATGAATCCCTTCCTGCTGCAGACCATCTCAAGCTGGCCGGGGTTAGCTGAAGCCCTTGCTGCCGTCAGGCTGCTACCGGCTGCTGGAGGACAGTTTGATATTTATCATTCATTCCTCCACTGCCTCCAGTTGAACTTTACTTTGGGCCTGGTGGGAGGGGGGGTGTCTGACTACCAACAACTAAATGCTGTCCTCAGATACACCTCGTTAGGTTTCAGCCAATCACGGTTAAGCTTGTTATGTTTTAGCCAATCACATATAAGCTCATTAGGTTTCAGCCTAACGAGGTCAACTGTTTCAGCCAATCGCAGTTCACCTCGTTAGGTTTCAGCCAATCGTGTCAGTTCTCCTCCAGGTTGGGCCAGTAGCATCTCCGCAGCAGCTCAGATGGCAACATGTCCACCATTTGTTGACCTCTCACCTCTAGCAGACAGCTTCTTGGTGTTGATGATCTTGGCAGCGTATTCCTGACCCGATAGAACCTTCACACAGCGCCGCACCACGGAGAACGCTCCCCTGAAACACAGTGGGAGGAACTGATCAGTCACAGGACAGACAGACAGATGGACAGATGGACAGCTGGGGATGTCCATCCTCCAGTAAAACAGCTAAAACCAGTTAAAAACCAGAGAAACCCATTCAGAAAAGGTTCTGGAGGCGCTTCCTGTCCCGTGGTTGTTACGTATACAGAGACGGAGGAGGAAGCTGGTCGTTGCGCCTCCTGGTGGACAGATCCAGAACACGTCTGGACCTGCTGTTCAGGAAACACCAGAGCAGACATGGACAGCTCCTGAGGTTGTGGCCTAGTCTGGACTCAGAACCAACCCAGAACTCTGTCCTGCAGGAAGTGTAGGATGTCACTTCCTGTTCCACATTTCCCATCCAGAAAAGAGTGCTTGTGATGCGACCAGCAGGAGGCGCTGCACAAAAGTATTCTGAGCTATTGAATGTTTAAGCTGAGCTAAGCTAACTGACCCATCCCAGTGGAGCGGCTGTTGCCATGGAAACAGCTTTTCCAAGTTGGGGTGGGAAGTGATTGTGGGTCCATCGGAGCCGAATGGTTCTGGTCCGTTCTTCTCAGGGTCGATGCAGTTAATTCAGCTTCCTGCTCTGGCCTTTGACTAGGCCATTCTAATGTAGGCCAGATCAATTAACACTGCCTCCAGAAGATGAAGAGAGGACCCACATCACCAACCCTCCTCTACCGTGCTATACAGAGTTGCTGGGTCTGGTTCTGTATGTCCCGGTCCATCATATGGGGGAAAAAAAAATCGAGGCTCGATGTTTTCCCAGAAGTCTCTGCTAACCTCAGTCTGGCAGCCATCTTGTTTCTAGAGAGAAGAGGCTTTCAGGGACCTGACATTTAACCTTTGACCTGCTGACAGAGGGATGGAGCTCTGGGGTTTCTGGTCATGTCTCTGACCTCTGACTTCAGGCTGAATCCGCAGCCTGAGGGCCTGGGATGTTGGCCTCCATGTTCATCTTACTGTGTTTGAATGAACGAACGAACGAACGAATGAATGAACGAGAGTCTCTGACATGGAGCTGGTCATCAACAACCCCACCATCTCTGCTGTCGAGCTGATCCCTTCAGATCAACAATCGATAATCAGTTGGAGACGTTCCTGAGGGGAAGTGAAGCTGAAAGCACAGAGTTTCTTCTGAGCTGCAATCTGCCGCCCACCATCGCATTATGTAAGAGACCTGGCATTAAGTGTGAGGGAGACTGTGTGTGTGTGTGTGTGTGGGTGGGTGGTGAGTGGGATGGGGTCAGAAAGGTGCTTCACTCTTCCCTTCATCCGTCCATCGATGTGTTTGTCCAGCTGCTCATCAGCGACTGATCAGCAGCACAATCAATAATCCATACCTCAAGTCGGCTGTAATTTATAATATAAAACTGATGTAATCTGTAGTCTGTGCATGGTATAATTCATAATTAATAATCTATACTTGATATATTCAATGATCCATACCTGATGTAATCTATCATTTATGATCTACACCTGATATTATTTATAATCTATCATCAATAGTTGCAATAATCAGCGGCTGAGTCTTTGAATAATCTACTTATGAAATTCAGATAAACACAGATTTATGTTTTAATTAAATAATAAAAAATTTAATATTCATATTGATTATTATAAACAACGAAGCTTCATGAAAACTTTTAAGAATGATCAAAACACCAATAAAGTCATAAAGAAATAATTGTAACAGAAATTAAATCACAGCTTAAATCAAGATGAGCATGATCGATCATTTATTGATAGATTATCGGTTGTGGAGACAGAAAGTTATTGGCGTGATGTCAGTGAGGAAGAGGAGGGTGGTGAAGGTGGTACTCACTTTCCCAGCTCCTCGTACAGTTGATACTCATCGGAGAAGCGCGTGCTGATGACCGTTGCCATGGTGAGGGTAAGGGGTCGACTGGCTCCGAGGATGATGATGGAGGCGGCGAAGGCGAGGAGTCGGACCGACCGTCTGAGGAAGAGGAGAAGGAGGAGGAGGAGGAAGAGGAGGAGGAAAATGGAGGGAGAGAGCAGCGAGGAAGAGCTGCTTCGTCTCTCGAACCGAAATGAGAATCAGAACCGAGACGCCGAAGCTTTACAGGTTCGGCCCCCGGCCCACTGCGCCCTCAGCCAATCAGAGGCCGCGCTGCGTCGCCATGGAAACTGAGTCCTCAGCCAGAGCTGACAGCCGGAAGGAGAGAGAGAGAGAATTGAGCTGGAGTTCTGGTTCCGGAGAGAGTTTGGGTTTGGGCCACCCCAACCCAATTAGTGAATGTCCCTGTTGGGCCTCCGTCCTCTAAGATCGCATGTGTCAAACTGAAGACCCGGGGGCCACATGTGGCCCTTCACATGCTTCTTCTGTGTCCCTGTGGAAATGCTAAACTACATAAGATTAACTAATTTATTCCCGCTAATCCAGAACTGCTAATGTTCAGACACGGTGGTTTTACGTGACCTGTAGGTGGCAGTATTTCCTCTGGCGCAGTTTTACTTCATGTCTAGTCAAAGTCCGTGATTAATATGCTGAGTAATAAAAAACAAATTTAATGTCAGCACAGATATTGTAAATATTTCTAGATTAGATTCTAGGATGAACGGCAAAGAGGATTATTTCATTCCAGATGAACACATTATTAATGTTCCAGCAGTTCATCAACGCATGCTGGCGCTGCTGGTCCTTTAAGAACATCCAGGATCCTACATGAAACCAGAACCGGTTTGATTCTCCGACCCGTCATCAGTAACTCAGCAGTTACAGGCTGACTGGAAGTTCTGGAGCAGTTCTTCAGGACCGGTTCTGAAGGCCCAGTTATAAAAACCTGGATCTCCAGGCCCAGTCCTGGTCCTCCAGGTTCTGGTCCAGATCCCTGTGAGTCGGCGCCTGCAGCATCTCTTACTCCTCCGGGTTATTTTTAGATTCTGGTTCCGATGGGATCCGATCTCTTCCTGTCATCTTCCTCTCTGCTTGGCTTCCTCCTCTTCCTCCTGTCTCCAGAGACGAAGAGGAGGAAGAGGAGGGCTGCCCGGTCAGCAGAGTTCAGCCTGCAGTCCAACAGAACCAGACAGGTTCTGATTCTGATAACGACAAGCTGAACCTAAAAGCAAAAGCGGGTTTACTGGATGTTTTACCAGAACCGCTCCAGAACCAGCAGGTCCGTCCAGACCAGGCCCGGTAAGAAAACTTGCCTGATCAGAACCAGACTTACCTGAAGGTGGAAACGAGTCTCAGCATCTCCGTCTGATCTTCTGCTGCCACCTGCTGGACAAACACTGGAACTACAGCCGGAACGATGCCACAGAAAAATAAATGTTTAAATTTAAATACAGTTTTCTTCAAAAACCAGGTTCTGGAGGGTTCTGGGGGGTCCGAGAAGAACCTGAAGAGTCCTGGAAGGACCTGGAATCTGACATTGACTGCAGAATTTATTCTTCTTCCGGTTATTAATGAAGCTGATGAAGACATGCCACACTTTTCAAATGTTTATTCTGCTGCTTCGCAGCAACAGAACCAGTCAGGGTTACAATCGGATCAGAACACAGAGAGGAAATTGTCAGAAAGGACCAATCAGAGTGGTCCCTAGAGGAAAGCTGACCAATCAGAACGAAGCAATGCATACAGTTGATTGGCTGGGAAACATCAACGTTTAACAGTCATTCAGCTGGGCATCCAGAACCGGGTCTGGATCCATGCTGAGGTTCCATGATATCAACAGCTCTCCGTCCAATCAGCTGAAAGGTCCGCTCTGGTTCAGTTTGGGTCTAAACAGCTGGTTCTGATGGAGAAGTTCTGGTTCCCTAAAGTCCAGAACCCTCAAAGTCCGAGCCTTAAAGTTCTGATTCTTCTGGTCCGTGTCCACCTGATGACCCACAGAGATTCTGGTTCCAGAACCAAGAGTCCAGAGTTCTGATGTCAGTAGGTCCGGTTCAGTTTACCGTCTGGGGTTCTGATACTGGGTCTGCATGAGCAGAACCAGAGTCCCAGGATGTTGGAGTCCAAACCAGGTGAACAGAACCAGATGGTACCAGTACCAAAACAACTGAAACCGGTCCAGCGCAAAGGATGAGAAGAACAGGTACTGAATCCTGGCCAGGGTTCTGGGAAACTCAGGACTGGCATCCTGGGTTCTCGGTGGGTTCTATTTGGTCCTGGACTGGTTCTGTTGGGTTCTGAGCTGGTACAGATGGGTTCTGGAGCGGTTTCAGGTGTTCTGGACTCAGGTTGCGGGTCTCGGCGATGAGCCGCTTGACACCGACCATCCATTGGCTGACCTCGGTCACATGGTCGACCATCAGAGAGCGATGAGCTTCATCAGCAGAGTCCCAGTGACCGGCCTGCAGCTCTGGGACACACAGGTGGACAAACAGGTGGACAGGTGAGACATGAGACAGACAGGTGGGACAGATGTGACACAGACAGGTGGGACAGGTTACCTTGGGACAGGACGTCCATACGTCTGGTTACAGGAAGGCTGAGTTTACCTGACCTCCAGCTGTCCTCCAGGAGGCAGAGCCTCTTAGCAACCTCGTTACACACCTGAGCCTGCAGACAGGTGACGTGTTAGCGTGTGTCCCTGCTGGCCAGGTGCAGTAACGCAGGCCTCCAGCGCTCCCTGCTGGTGGAAACTCACCTTCACGGAGCTCCTGCAGGCCTCCAGCGCTCTGTTCAGCACTGACATCACAACCTCCAGATCAGGCTCTGATTGGCTGCTTTCCGCCTCTCCCTGCTTTCTCATTGGTCCCGTTTGAGTAAGGGGCGTGGCCTCAGGTGGACGTCCAGCTGGAGGACATTAAAGCCGTTACTCAGGCGTGTTGAACAGGTGCAGTGAGACAGTTCTGACTCTTACCTGGCAGAGGAGGCGGAGGTACTCCACACATGGGTGGGGCCATGGGGTTGGAGGACAGAGGGGCTGTGGGCGGAGCTCCTGGACCTGGAGACCAATCAGATTAAGATGTTTCACAGGCGATGACAGGTGAGGGAAAGTCGGTGCTCAGGTGAGTCAGAGTACCTGAGCTCGCTGCTGGAACGGCTCTCCTATTCAAGGGGTTCTTCTGAGGTCCGCGGGCCGTCTGCAGCCCGTACGAAAACTGAGGGGGGTCATTCCAGCCCCGCTCCTGGTTACCTTGGAAACAGACATGTAAATAAACACAGTCCAGCAGAAATCCTGATGGTGACAAACATAGAGAGACGCTCTGAAACTGAACATCTTGATGGGAAAATAATGTCCAATAAACATTTATCATTTTACTATAAAGAATCCAGAGACTCCCTGATGACAAAATAATAAATAATAATAAATATTAATCAGGCTTGATTATCACCTGGAGTTATTACCTCAAGTTTATGAATCATCAGTGTTCCAGGACTCATACTTTGAGCTGGTTGATATTAGATGAACTATTAATGACCCGAATTCACCACGTCACACAGCTCTGTCACCACGGCCATAATGAATCCACTTAAACTCAGAGACTATTTTGGGATAGATCAGAGAAGTTTGAATACACAGGTTTATAAGTGAGGTTCCAGTCTGTGACTATTAGAAGCCGGCTAACAGCTGCCCGACCGTTTCAATCCCGGCAGCGGGACTCTGGTAATGTTCTCCCGGACAGCACGGGTCCCGTGGAGGAAACTCACCGGGTTTCACGTACATGTCCTCCATGTTGGAGCCTGGAATCGGAATCAGCTGATTCTTCCCGTGGAGGCTGAGCGGTGCTAGCAGCTAGGCTAACCGGAAGGGCTCTCACAGAATAAAGAAGTCAATTAAACTTCGGTTAAACTCTGGACTTAATTAAAGGCAATAACTCTCCTGAACTAAACACAAAGTCTTGTGTTTTGTTGTTAAAAAAAAAAAAACAACCCTCCCATTAAGTTATATAACTGCAGTCACCACATCCGGTCAGAATGTCAAAATAAAAGCTTCTAATGTTTTTAATTTATTTAGACTATTCGATTTATCTTGTCTTATCTTTTCGTTAAAGTCATATTTATGTACATTTACATGTTCAAATGTGCCAAAGAATCACCTCCATTTTTTAGGTTAATATCGGTTACAGGTAGTTAATTATGTGTCTGTTATGGTTTTTAGCTTCAAGTTTTTACACTGAGAGCAAACTAAAGCATTAAAATGTAGTATATTGCAGCAAAAGTAAAACAATATTGCTATGTGTTTGTGTTTTTACGCGTTTGCATTCATAAAACTCATAGCAAGGTAATATAAAGTTAATATCAATTATTTTTTAAGAATAATTATTTCTATTTGTTTTCTGATCCTATTTTTTCACGCAGGGCAGTTAATGCCTCCAGCTGTGTGGGGTCCATCTTGGACAGGTCACCCATCAGCTGCTGCAGCAGCTGGACTGTGGGAGGAAGCCAGAGTACCCAGAGAATGTCCACACAGAGAACAAGCCTGACCACCGGCTGGTATTCAGACTGTCATCAAAATTAATCCAGAATCAAAATGTTCAGTTTGATTATTGTCCTTCAGAGGACTTGTCGTCATATTTAGTTTGAAGAGGTGAATAATTCTACTTCCTGTTGAAAAGGCTAGCTTTACGTGCAGCCAGTTCCTCAAGAATGTCCGGGACGTGGCCACCGTGAAACGCCTTTGAAACAGTGTGACGTCAGCACGGCGTGAGGTGGATTGACAGTGACAATTTTATTTTTTTTATTCTTTGTTTTGTTCTTTGTATCCAATAAAGTTCATGCATAGATATTGGTTTGCATTAATTGACTGCATTACCTAAATGATGTTGTCCAAATTGTGGCCAGGGGGACATTTGCGGTCGCCAAACTGATTGTGTGTGGCCCCTGTAATCATGCAAATCCTTCTCCTCAGCATAGTTGTTTGATGTAGATAGAAACCTTCTACTTTTAATAAGATCAACACCATCACAGACACATTGAAGTCTTCCTACAGTAGAAAATGTTGGAAACAGGAGTAATTAACTGTTTAATGCCTCTTTTTCAAGCTCTACATCTTTCCTGTGACTTTTACTCAAAAAATGACTTTGCTGCATCCAAATCTTTTATTAAAATTCAGCAAGTGTTCTCTAATAAATCATGATCTTATTGTTCAGAATGAATTAAATTTTGTTCTCTTTTTTCCTACTGATGCCTAGAAAATGATCAAAATTTCTTTAGTGAGGCAAACCCAGATCTTTAATAATTGACACATTCCTTACTACCAATAAATTTATTAATTTAATTAAAGTGTTGCTTGATTACATTATAAAATACATAAGACAACCTTTTTCTTTGACTCTTAAGTCATCTATTGATGATTTTGGTCCATGTAACCAAAAGTTTGGGCACCTATGACCTAAATCTAAAGGTTACATATTAAACATTAAAATAAAATGTCTCAATGTGGACAGATTTGTAGGAATAACAAACTAATCACCTGAGAAGAGTTTTTGAAAAGATTTTTTGGATTAACATTGAGGAAAAATTAAATATTTGGATTTATATGAGTCCATCAGAACCTGGAAGTTCTCCTCTGCTGAGAGTAACATAATCATCATCGTCATCACTTCCACTGAGCCTGATGATGTATTTCCTGTTCCAGCTTCAGCCTCAGGATGAAAATGTTCCAACAGATTTTACTTTCAGCATCACTTGCTGTAGTGGAGTCATTTTTACAGGGGAGGGCAAGTGAGGCAGAGAGGGAGGGCAGTGCTGACATCATCAGGAGGAGGAGGAAAACAGCATCTTTCATCAGACGGAGAGGAGAGAGGCAGAAAGGAGGCAGAGAAAACGCCAGGACGGGGAACAAAACAAGGGAGGAGAAGAAACGCTGATGGTGTCTGAGAGGGGAGCGGACTGCGGGACGAGAGATACCCACAGAGACACGGGGACAGCGGGGGAGAGACAGGCTGCAGCCGTCCTCTGGGCCTCATCAGCTGACTGCAACTCACTGGGGAGGGTGGAGCCATGATGGGCAAGGATTACATGCTGGCCATCATCATCGTCAACTATGATGGTGAGACACACATACACACACATTCAGGTTTCCATCCCATCTCAGGTCCGGGGCGTGGGACAGCTTTATGAGGACCGTCCTCATAATGGACATTTAATCCTACTGCGGTTGGGATTTATGTTGCATGTTTCTGAGTGTAAAAGCTCAGATGTTCAATGACGTTTTAGTTTCAATCCCAACTAGTAGCACAGTTATAGACAGAAAGTCCTGCAGCTCCTGAGCTCATCTGGTCAAACTGAGTTTATAATTAGACAAAGATGAAGATCCGAAGCAGCTCATCAAAGACCAAACTGCAGAACTAGAACTGATAAGAAACAAAGTGTCTGACTTGCATCAGTCGGGAAACAGTTCCAGAACCACCTCTGAGGTACTGGACTCCAGAGCATCTCAGTCACCATCGGGATTCACACCTGGAACCACAGTGAGCCTTCCCAGCAGGCCGACCCATCTGCTGAATAACCCGTCAAGATGGTCCAGAAGAACCAGAACCTGTGGAGCTCTGCAGGGCTCCTGATTGAAGAGGTTTTGGTAGTTCAGTAATTTGCTGCTCTGCGGCATAAATGTTTTCTCTGCTGGATTTATATTAACCAGTCACTCACATTACTCCCGTCCCTGAGTGGTATCTACCTCTGGTTTTTGTTGTGATCCACTTTCTGCCCTTAACTAGAACCTCCTTCAGCTTCATCTTCCTGCTTATAAAACTCTGTAAATAGTTTCTGCATCTCTTCATCATGTCTTCAACTTGATATCAGCAGAAATTGGATTTATGATTTCAGAAGAATCTGCTGTTTGAGTTCCAGATAAAGATTGATGGACAGTTTAAATTATTTCTGACAATATTTTAAAGATTTATCCTCCTTAAGTCCAGCTTGAATCCTCTCTGCCTTTGGACTTGCAGCTCTTCAGCAAAACCCCTCAAAGTCTGGAGGATCAGGAAGAGGAAGGAAGTGTTTATGAGGAAGAGGAAGGAGAGTCCTTTCAAGGGTTGTTCTGTTTCTGCTACATAGGACATCCAGCTGTCTGTCCCTGTCTGTTAATTTGGACCCATCAGAGCTGGATATCAGCGCCTGGAGTGACTGATGCTTTAAAAAAATCTGGACCCAGAGACTCTCGGAGGATAGGATTCTGGTTCTGTTCAGAATTCGGGCCTCCGCCGAGCAGCTCAGATAGATGAAGGATGTCTAGTCTCTCTCAGCTGACTCAGCGGATTGTGTGTCCGAGGGTTTATTAATTATTCACGGCTTCTTCGGTTTCATCTCTTTTCTCTTAATGCTCAGCAGTTTGACCCGATTGATGGCGCCGGTCCTGACACATGATGTTGGATCGGCAACATAATCTGGGTTCAGAGAGCCGCTGCTGCAGGAGAAAATCAGAACCCAGGGGGTCAACAAGACAGAACCGAGTCCTATCAGAATAGAAACCTCAACCAGATCCATCTGAAACCACCAACACGCCATTCACCGGAGGATGTGTTAAATGCGACAGAACCTTTGGTTCCAGTCGGGTCAGACTGAATGTTAGCTTGAGTTTTAGTCATGTTCGTCAGCTTGCTTAGTCCCAGGTCTGTTTTAGTTGGTTAAATTTATTATAACTAGAACTAAAATCTAATCTTTAGAGTAAAATAACCCTAACCCTCTGATGTTTAATCCGACCTGAACCTTCAGGTCAGAACCACAAAAAAGTTTCAAAGTGGGCCTTCTATCAGCTGAAGAACATTTCCAGGATCAGAGGACTAATGTCTCAACTTCAGAGAAACTTGTCCAGGCGTTTCTCTTTAGTGACGATTACTGCAGCAGTCTTCACAGGTCTGACTAACAAAACAATGGTCCAGCTGCAGCTGATTCAGAACACTGCTACTGTAGTTCTCGGACTAAAACCAGGAAGATAGAGCACATCACCCAGTTTTACAGTCCTTCACTGAGAGAACAGACTTTAACATGCTTTTGTTAAAAGCTGAGTTAAAGTAGAAATGAAGGTGAGTGGTGAAGCACGAACCAATATAAACAGTGAAGGTAAAGGTGGAGATGTGCTGCAGTGATTGGGGGCTCCAACAGGACCTGTTTCAACCATGGGCCGGTTTTGCTGTCCTGAGTGATGAACATGGTTCTGATGAGTCGGCAATGACCCTCGATAATCAAGGTGACCTTCATCTGCGGGAATTAAACTGCTGAGTCAACAAGGACATAAAGAAGAGGAGGGTGAAGTTTCCTGTTTTGTTCTTATGCAGGCATGAGAATCAATATCATCTGATCACAGCAAAATATAAAAACAACATGTGAGCTGCTGACACAGACAGCTGATTGGACAGGAGCTCTTCAGCCCAGCATTTGATTGGACAGAAGAAACTCTGATCGATAAGTTTTCTACTTCTATTGAAAGTTCAAATCTCCTGAATGACAGTTTGACTTCAATTAAAACATAAATCTTTCACCAACCTGACAGATGGAAAGTTGACTTTAAACTCTAGGAGATTTAAAACATTTTTAAAAATCTGTTTTAAAAGCCTGCAACAACAGATAGAAATAAACATTGTTGATTAAAAGTGATAAATATGTGGTTTTCTCCTCAGACCCAAATTAAGTTTATTCACATAGCATATTTCAGCAACAAGGTATTTCAGAGTGTGTTCATAATAAAACATCATTCAGTCACCAATTATGAAACAATAAACATTACATTTTGTCAAATGCCTTAATCAAAGATGATCAATGTCCCAGTTTATAGAAATGAAAGGCAGCTCTAGACAAGTGCTTTTGTTCTTGATTTAAAAGACCTCATTGTTTCAGCAGTTTTTCTGTTTTCTGCAAGTTTGTTCCAGATTAGTGGGCCATAAACATTTATATTTGTTTTTTCAATTTAATAATTGTTTGTTATTCTT